CGGACGGGAGCGCCGCCGCGCTTCCCAAGCGGCGCACTATCCAGTGCGCCACCGGGCCGGCCCCTCATCAAATGTTTTAAGAGCTTAAAACTTTTTCTTTGTAACAAAATCGTAGAAGGAAGTGAAATTGAATTCCATGTGTGTTACATGCAATACATAGGAGTGTAACATACATTACACTCCTATCCTTATACTTATTTCCCACGAAATATAAGTACACCATGTTACTTGCTGAAAATCCCTAATTAAAACGAATTAAACATTTAATGTGGCTTGAAATTTTATGATCTTTGTGAACAACCTCATTATAGAAGTTCCCTAGATCTTAAAATGCTCTGAATTAAAGATTAGCAACCAGACTTTATTTGTTCATTTACATGTTTGCTTATTGTACCTCTTAAGGTAAAATTTAAATCACAGGCTTTTATATTCTGTTCTCCCACACTATATATCATGTAATAAATGCAGAGTTATATCCTATGATCTTTAAAGCGTTTATGAAGTTATTAGACATGAATTTACTGCTCGCGGGGCAAGAGCTTATCATCAGATATAAGATGTGCCAGAATGAGTTTAATTCCTGATGCGAGCATTATTTATATTTTGACATGGTGACATTTGTATACTTTCTGAACCTCAGTTTTTCTATAAAGTAGAACGTGATGATGTCAGTGCCACCTGGTTGTTGAGATAATTCATTCATATAACTGTAAAAAGGGTTTTTAAGTAGAATGTCCCCTGCAAATGCGAGGGAACTTTAAAAAGTTTGTAGAAAAATGGAATTAAAAGAGAACACGAATCTTCCTATGAACGTGTGAAGACCCCTCGTACAAGGTGGAGTTTTTAAAGCCATATGTGAGTAGGAGAAGGGACGTCCCACTGTGTCTGTGAAGGAGGGTGGCCAGGTTCCCACATGGAGCTGCCAGTTTAAGAGCGGCCTGAGTGAGAGGGTGGCCCTGGCAAATGGAAGGGGTGGCAGAGGAGCGGGCCGTGTCTTGTGGAAGCCTAGGATTGTGGCTTCTCCATGCTGCCATACCTGACAGGAGCGGTGACTTTCGTGTGCTGGGCACAGGTAGCCTTCTCCCTTCCCGCTGCTGGTCGGCGAGGGCAGGCCACCCTGGGGAGAAGAAAGGACTCGTGCGTGACTGTGGCTTGTCCCTTTTGTCCACAAGGACAGCAGGGCCGTCCCATGCAGAACTAAGAGCGTGGGGCCCCGCAGATCACGGTCTAAAGCTCAGTGCACAGACAGCGGCTGCAGGCGGTTGACTGCACTTTCCTGGAGTCTTTCGAAGCACCAGTTAAAATACTAATAATCTCAGACAGAACCACAGCAGTCGCTTTCTTATTTTCTCAATGGCAGGAGCATTACAGCACATATAATGTGAATAATACACTTAAGCTAGGATAATGGCTGAGTCTAAAAGAAAGAAAAAATAAATAAAAAAGGAAAGCAACTGAGACGAAAGCTAGAAAACCAGGCCTACTGTGCGGGTCTCCGAGTCCCGGCCAGTGTTGAACTGCCCCTGACGCCTGCTCATTCTTTGTCCTGAGAGTCGGTGACAGTGGGTTTTCTGGAATGAGAAACAGGATCTTATTCCCTGACCCAAAACTGTAGTTAAAGAGAGACAGTGTTTGTGATCTTCCTGGAGAAGAAGCCGACGGACACCGGGGACAGAAGACTGGTGGCAGCGGGAAGCCCCCAGCTGGGTCCCCTGTGACGGCTCTGCTGCAAATCCAAGTGATGCCTCCTCTTTATTCTCCTAATGGAATTTTTTTTTTTCCTTTTTGTCTTTTTTCGTGTCTGGCAACGGATAGCAACCCTCAGTGTCG